ACACACATATATATATATATATATATATAAATATAATATTAATTTCTTCACCACCTATGATATTCTGTTTCCTATATAACTTGGATTTATCATTTGCAAGAACCATTAAAAAAAACATGCACTTTTCATAGTCTCACTTTTTTACAACTTGAACAGACCATCTTTTCCTCAGCATTTTTATTTTTGAAAAATGCATGATATCCTGAAAAGGCAGCAGTGGAGTAAATGAAGAGACTCTCGTCTACATCAGAAGAAAGGTTTTCATGCGTTTGGTGCCATGCATCTAAGTCTCATATGGCGTTTTGCCAACTGATCGGCCGATCCTCATTTGGCGAAGATACATCACAAAAAACATCACGCCACCAGTACACTGATAATACTGACATTTTCTTGCTCGAGTCCTCATTGAACAATCACAAAAACGAAAGTAACTCTTACAGCTGAACAACACAGCATAGCAAATAATGTGAAGCGATGATAACTTTTATGGATGATGGGAATATATGGCAGTTCATGAAGCCTTTAAAAAGCAGGCACACTAATGGGAGTATAAATGCGCAAATAAATACGCAAAATAAAACGAGGAGTCCAGTAAATCTTGCTCCCGACAGTCTTTTGTGAAGCTCAGATGACGTTCAGGTGGCTGTTGCTCATGGAGGACGGGCAGACAGCAAACGGCTGTTCGCGGGTCAGACTGCGCAGCGCGTGCAGAACCACATCAGGCATGTGATCGGCGATCATCCGCGGGCTGATCAGAACATTACGGAACGATGTCTCACTCGACCACTCGGCACGGTATCTCACCTGAGAGAAGCAGTGTCTGTGTACAGAGAGAGAGAGAGCAGTCAAAGATTTTAATAAAGAAAGACATGAATCAATTTAAAAAAAATTTTTTTATTATTATATACTTCATTTTATTATTTTTAACAATTATTTTTAATTAAAATGTTTTTAAATTCCAGACATGAATAAAATATAATTTTTTACATTATTTTATTTAATAATTTTTGAGCCATTATTTTTAATTCTGATCAAATCACGCATCCCTGGCGTGTGTGCTGACCTGCGAGCGGGCCCGTCCTCGGTGATGTGCAGGATGCGTCCCGGCGGGTACAGGGGCAGGTGTGTGGGGTGGGAGGGCGAGTCGTCGGATGACAGGCTCTGGTAGGTGTTTGAGCGCTGAACTAACAGACTCTCCTCGCCTAGCAGCGGCTGGCTAAGCGCCTCCTCCCGCCGGTTCTCCAGCTCCGTAGGGAAATCATCAGGAGTTCCTCCAAACAGCTCGTACCAGCAGCCGTGCATTAGGATCTTATACTGAGAGACAGAAACGTATCACTGATAGAGTATAGGCAGGCAGAGTGTCTGAGTGAACGATCTTACCTTTGGCTTACTGCAGTTAGAAACCATTTTTAGTAATCTTCTTTTCAAGTCTTCCATGTTAGGGATGCTCAATCTACAGAAACGAAATGAGCACAATTTGAGGAAGTGATACGAACCAGATTATACAAATAGAAGTGAGAAAAAAGGAGCCAGGAACAGGCTCTCTAAATTTAGCTACACTTTTACGCATAAAAATGCTTAAAGATGCTTGCTTGATTTCATTTGTCTTTCTTTCTTTATATAGCACTATATAAATGCAACTCAGTTGCCGAAAGTGCTTTACAAGGTAAACATAGAAAATAACACATCAACATGATAATGGTAAATGGCGTTAAAAAAATAATACAATCCTAAAGCAACACCCATTTTAAAATGCCATAGAGAGTAAATGAATTTTTAATTTGGATCTAAAAATAGCCAGAGTCGGTGCCGTTCTAATAGCCAGTGGCAACTTATTCCACAGATTTGGACCGCTCACCGCAAACGCACGATCACCCTTGAGCCTAGATCTAGTTCAGGGCACTGTTAAGAGTGGCAGATCACTGGATCTAAGTGATCTAGAGGGAACATCTGCAAGATAAGGTGGAGCATCGGACTGATGACATTGTGGCCGTTTGACTAAATCTCACCTGGGTACGAGATCTTTTCCCAGCACCACCGACACGACAAACTGCTTCGAGTAATCGGCCAGCGCTTTACTGAGGAGAGAGAGTAGACACGAGCTAAAAATGTGCTGTTTACTGACAAAATACTACGTCAAATTATAAATAATAAAAATAGCAAACTGTGCTCTGTAAAAGGGCTGCAAGTGTTTTAGCATTGTATTTTAGGACTGTCAAGACCTTGATCTCAATGACCTCAAAGTAAAAGGCGGTGAAAGTCTGACAGTAATCAGTGTTGAGTACTATTGTTAACCCTGCCTGGTTTAAATGTTTCAAAATGATTAACAGTTGAAAATATTCGTTAGAAATTTGAGATGGTCCTCACTGCAGAACACAAGATCCAGGGGGCGTGGTTGGATCCAGATCAAACTCCTCCCACCTTACATATACCTAAACCTACACACGACAAACTGCTTCGAGTAATCGGCCAGCGCTTTACTGAGGAGAGAGAGTAGACACGAGCTAAAAATGTGCGGTTTACTGACAAAATACTACGTCAAATTATAAATAAAAAAAATAGCAAACTGTGCTCTGTAAAAGGGCTGCAATTGTTTTAGCATTGTATTTTAGGACTGTCAAGACCTTGATCTCAATGACCTCAAAGTAAAAGGCGGTGAAAGTCTGACAGTAATCAGTGTTGAGTACTATTGTTAACCCTGCCTGGTTTAAATGTTTCAAAATGATTAACAGTTGAAAATATTCGTTAGAAATTTGAGATGGTCCTCACTGCAGAACACAAGATCCAGGGGGCGTGGTTGGATCCAGATCAAACTCCTCCCACCTTACATATACCTAAACCTACGCGTCTCCACACCCTGATCCCTAAACCCACCCATCTCCACCCCTAAACCTACCAATCTCCACCCCCCATATACCTAAACCTACCCGTCTACACACCCTGATCCCTAAACCCACCAATCTCCACCCCTAAACCTACCAATCTACCCATCTCCACCCCTAAACCCACCCATAAACCTACCATTCTACCCGTCTCCACCCCTAAACCCATCGTCTCCACCCCTAAACCCGTCTCCACCCTTAAACCCACCCGTCTTCACCCCTAAACCATCCCGTCTCCACCCCTAAATTAACCCGTCTCCACCCCTAAACCCAATCGTCTCCACCCTTAAACCCACCCGTCTTCACCCCTAAACCATCCCGTCTCCACCTCTAAATTAACCCGTCTCCACCCCTAAACCCAATCGTCTCCACCCTTAAACCCACCCGTCTCCACCCCTAAACCTACCATAGGATCTTGTGTTCTGCAGTGAGGGGCTAATGAGAAATTTAGAAAAGCAATCAAATGTAATCAGTTACATTACTTTAATATAGTTCATGTTAACTAATGCAGTTAAGTAATGTTAACAAATGAAATCATACTATAAAATGTAAGAGATTAACTTTAAGTGAGCGTTACACAACAACAACAACAAAAAGAAGTAATTTAAAGGTAAAAAAATATGGGGGGGGGGGGCAGAATAATGCACATGTAAATAAATGCATATTTTCTAATATATCACAGCTCTCCTTAGAAAGCCACACGATCAGAGGAATCGTTACGCCTGTGGCATAAACAGCACAGGATTAGTAACTCTCAACCCTAAATATGAGCGATAGTAAAAGCCCAGGAAAAACACTAATATCGAGACTTTATGCAAACTCTATGAAATGGCTCATTTGAAAATGAAATGACCTCGACAGCAGCGAATAAAAGGTCAGCTCGGGAACGACTGGCAAGCGTCAAGAGTGTGATTTGTTTAGGGAAATAACAGCCTGAGCGTCAGTCGAGCACAAACACACCTGCAGATCACACACGCTTGCTTTCTCTGATCATTATCAGTGTAGAACTGATGCCTGAACTCACCTTCAGCGACAGCGTTCCCCTCACAGCGACCAGGACCGCCTCTCTCTTGTGATCTAACGCCACGTAAAACGGGATCTCGTAGATCTACAGAGTAAACAGACACTGCTGTAGGTTGGACTGCACAATATTTGAAAAACTGACATTGTGATATCCTCAAGCCCTTTTCGGAAACTATAAGTAAATAGAGTTTAAAAATCAATCTCGTTCTACTTGAGTTTTTATAGGCCACATTCCCACTGTTTTTAACCAATTCAATATGCTGCTTATAAAGTAATAACAGTTATTATGATTTTATTGTGATTATTATTAAATAAAATACTACAGTAATAACAACCCTTATGAGTCAATTTAAAAAAACTTACACAGTGGTTCTTAGATGGCAAAAATGTCCATGTCAAAAAAAAAAACGGTTCTAAAAATATTATATTATTAATCTTTTTATCAACATCAGTTCTGATCAAAATTCCAAAAAATCTTTGGTAGTTATTACAGTCTTGGATTTGTCAATGATCAGCAACAACACTAATTTTTATGCATTATTGTTTTTTTGTTTAGTGTCAGATAAAAAAAAATTAAAATAAAAAAAAACCTATGTATGAGTACATGTTCCACAGGCCAAACCTGAGAAGAAAAGAGTAAAATTGTAAAAAAAATAAAAAAATTAAAAAAAATAAAAATTGTAAAGCCAACAGAATGATTAATTTGACTGTAATACAAATAATCTAAAAAATAATAAAATAATAAAACTTTTATTATTACTTTATTATTTTTTTAGAATATATTTTTATTTATTTATATTTTAAAGTTTTACTGTAAAAATGTTTACATAATAAATATACACAGTACACACACATATAGTATGTGTGTATATATATATATATATATATATATATATATATACACATACATACATACACACATGTATATATTATAGAAAAATATGTTAGATTTATATATAAAATATTTATAACAAATTATATACTAGTATAAATATACATACAAATATTTTTAAAAATATATTCATATATGTGTGTGTATTTATATATACACAGTGCAAACACAAAGTATGTAAACATCAACTTTTATTCTGAATGCGATTAATCGCCCTAGATTCATGAGAGTAAATGAGGGTGAAATTAAAATTCCAATAAAAATACACATTTTTGACAATTTATATAAAAAAAATGAAAAAGATAAAAAATGTCTCTAAGGATGCACAAGGGATAATAAAATATTTTAATTTGCTGTAAATACTAATATACGTCTTATTTCTTGATTTTCAAATGGTAAATCATCAAGCTTTTATTTTGATGGGTAGCCAGCAAATAAAAGAGAAAATCCCCATTGGTTTCAGAATAAAGCCCCACTGAAACATGAATCATGAACCACGTGTCTGTAAATGTCATGCTTCATTCTAAAAACTGTGGATTTATTTAATGAAATCACAGCCTGCGCAATTTAAAAAAAATCACAAAGCCATATCATGTTTATTTCGATATATGTGACCCTGGACCACAAAACCAGTCATAAGGGTCAATTTTTTGAAAAATCTGGAATCTGAGGGTGCAAAAAAATCAAAATATTGAGAAAATCACCTTTAAAGTTGTCCAAATGAAGTCCTTAGCAATGCATATTACTAATAAAAAATTAAGTTTTGATATATTTATGGTAGGAAATTTACCAAATATCTTCATGGAACATGATCTTTACTTAATATCCTAATGATGTTTGGCATAAAAGAAAAATAATATCCTAATGATTTTTGGCATAAAAGAAAAATCAATAATTTTGACCCATACAATGTTTTTTTGGCTATTGCTACAAATATACCCCAGCGACTTAAGACTGCTTTTGTGCACCAGGGTCACATATTGTATTGGAAACACAGGCATTCTGAAGTACACTGGAGTCACTCGAGTCGTCACCTGGTTATGAAAGCTGATGTGGATGAAGTCTCTGTACTGCAGGCCTGTGCTCTGTAAGATGGAGGTGAAATGGCAGCCCAGGGTGTCTCCTCCGACCAGATCGTACTCCGCCTGACGGCTTCGACAGCTGAAACACAGATTCAAATGAGTGCAGCTCTGCATTTAACACTGTTAGGGTTCAGCTGGCAAATGTCATACGCACCAGTCTCCGCTGAGTTTGCAGAAGCCCGTGAGCGGGTTCGAGTAGACGTATAGAGGCCATCCGTATGCAGCCGCTGCAAACTGCATAAAGTGAATGGCTTTCTCAAGCTCAACCTCCAGATCCTCCCTCTGAGAAAAACACAGGAGGTGTGAGCTCACCCAATGCACAAGCTACACGGTACATCCATCAGCTACTGCAGTGATAAAGACTCACTATAGGGGAGGACGGGCTGTGGGACAGGACCTCATCAGGGTCCCTGCAGTGCTCCATTTTGTCTTGTTCCTGATGCAGAAGAGCCAGACCAGCCGCGATGTCACTGGGAACCAGGTCTGTGTCCTGGAAACAAGACAGACAATGCGCCATAGCAACGGACGCCCCTAATATATATATAGAGTTATATATATATATAAAGAGTTCATTTGCAAAAACCGATAAACGCCACTTTAAAAAAAAAATGAGCTGATTGCTGTGCATTATTCTCCACATATAGCGCGATCTGAACCCTAAACACGTTTTGTCAAAAAAGCCGGTTTTATCCATCCA